TGGGCAAATATTACTACATTATAACTATTTGCATACATTAAAAGGCTTCTGTTTTTTGGCGTCAGCAAAGAGCGTTGGATTCGGTGTGGGCATGTACATGGGAAGATGGTGCACACGCCAATCAAGGCCATTAGATTTGTTAAGCTTATATGGATTAATATGGTGCATCGCGGCGCATGAAAGTATGGTGCGCGTGTGCATCTAGGCCATAGAAGTGGTTTGGTCAACTGTGGGTTAATCTGGTGTAGCGTAGACCATGAGAAGATGGTGCACTCGTTGATCTGGACTTTAGATTTATTTTGGTCAATAGAATAATGATCTAGTGCTTCGCGGCTTACAAAGACAGAGAGAAGAAGCCAACCAAAAGCTGTCACCTCACGTTGAGAGTGAATCAGGCGCGTGGACACACCTGCCAGGGCTGGGTGGCGCTTGGAAGCGCGTGTAGAAGGCTTGGGTGCATGTGGAAGTGCGTGGAGTTGCGTGCGGGGTCCCGAAAAGTTCCTAGTGGGTCCACTGAAGTCCCAGATTTGTTTTTAATCTTCTTAGGGTTGAAATCAACCATTAGAGAATGTATTCTTAGGGTTTTGAGAGCCATAGAGTGTTACTATAATATTTAGTAGCATTTAATTAGCATAAATATAATTAATTAACAATTGGTTATGGAATGAAATATGTATACCATATATATATATATATATATATATATATATATATTTGTGTGTGTATATGTGGGTTAATTAATTTATGATTTGTACAGAATGATGTATATTTATTAATTATTGATATATATGAATATATGATTTTAATTAATCAAGGATTATTAAGGAAGGAGTTATACATATATATTAAATAATATATATGTATAAGTATATGTATATGTTATTTAAGATGATTAATCTTATTATTTTTATTTAGTAAATCATAATAGGCTGATTATTAAATTAATGATATGCTTATAGTATGCATGGAATGCCTATGTATGATTTGTTTTATTGTTAAATTAGTTTTAAGATTTGGTACATGATTGAATTTTAGGCATGGATGAGATGCCAAAGGCTTAAATATATTGCCTTATTATTTGTATGAATAAAATACATACATGAAAAGTATGAATGAGTTGCTAATTAAAAATATAAATATATATACACTTAAGGAGGCATGATTGAATTGCCAATATATAAATAAATATATTTATAATGGCATGGTTAATTTACCAAAGCGTAATTAAATTGCCATATATATGTTAGATGATTAAAATTCCATCTATGGTTATTGCATGGATAGGTTGGATTATGATTAGATATTTTTCAATTAGAATAATCTAGTACTTACAGGTTAATGTATTATTTTATACATATTAATAAAATAATATTGGTGGAGACAAGGATGATTTGTCAAAGCTTAGATTTTGGATTTGATTTAAATAATTAAAATCATATTGGGTTTTGGGATTAAATATAATATTCCTTTATTATAATTTATTGTTCAAATAATTAAACAACTGACTAAGATGGGATTAAGGTTAAATGAGTTTCTTTTTAAAAGAAATGGTGGATTGGTCTATGTATGATTATTATTTTAATCATTGTTTAATAGGTTTAAAATTTTAATAAACCTATTAATGGATGTGATTAGTGTAGTATATATAATTATTTATATATATGTATATCATGCTATATTAAAGTTAAAAATTTATTAGTTTTGATTTTTATCAGAGATGGTCTGCTTACTGGTTTTCAGGGACTTGGTAGAGAAAACTTGCTCGTAGGTTTGACCCTCTTATTTTTATCTTTCAGGTTATTAGAGGTTCAAGTCTCAAGGTTGAGGATCCACAGATGGAGGACTTATCTATTCTTTCGGTTTATTCCAAAGTAGAATGAAAGACTTATTTTATTTATAGTTGACTGGATTATTGGACAATGTTTTTAGAGGTCCTTGCATTACGGGATCCCCAAGTTGTAATTTTGGAGAAGTATTATTAAAATTATTATTTATTAGTTTTCTTCAGCGAATTATTTATTCTTTTTAATTCTTTTTGTAATCTGTACTTATTTGAAATACTTTAATTGTTTTGATATATAATTTTGTGCATGAATTTGATCAACTCGTGTTTCAAAATTGGGGGATATCATAATGCCCACGTCCAAAACCGCCAATAACCGCCCCAAGAAAAATCTGTATAAACATATAAATAAGAGATCAATGATAGGGGAAAGGGATCAATTCCAATTGTCTGATTTTCTTCTGCTTAGTTGGTTTCAATTCAGTGATATCTTCTTGTTTACAATTTTTTTCGTATTTTCTTAAGTGTTGTAAAATCTACACCTACAGATGTATTGATTATTGGTTCTCTGATCGGGTCGTAGTAAAGGGAACTTGTTTGTGGGTCTGACCTACTATTTATTTTTTAGGTCCCAGCAGTACTAGTCTTAGAGTTGTTCGTGCAGATAAGAGATTACTCACCTTCACTCTTCCGTATCATCAATGATGTAGGATATTATTTCAAATATTCTGTTATTAGTAGTTATTTATTATTTCAGTAGACGTTATTTCTTTTATAGGATTTTATTAGGTATCCTTAATATATGGATTCCCGATGTGTATTTTGGAGATTTATAATCTATTGGATTGATTTGGAGTAGTGGTATCAGAGGATTTATTAATTATTTATTATTTAGTTTCGCTTTTAGCTTTATTATTTATTTTATTATATTACTATTATATTCTGTGTTCGTTTATTATCGGATTGTTTTGATATCCTAGAATCTTCAAACATGAGCCTAACCAACTCACAAATACTTATCGAATTCAGATCGAATTAGGCCTGATTCGGTCCAAATTCAATTTCTACTTGGTGGCTTCCTTTGTATCAAATTAGTCATTTATTTAGTGGAGAAATGACCAAACATTCCACTAAAACTATTGGCCCAATACCACTCACATTGTTCATTTGGCGGAGAAATTATTACATTTTAAGCGGGTCATTCACTCTATGACTGTTCCACATAGAAAAGTCACGCGTTAATTAATTGTGGAGGGAGGCATACGTTACCTGTTCTAGTTTTGCTGATTATGGTATTCTTAAACTTTGTAAGTCAACTCACTGTTAATGTGGTCTTCCGAGATGCATTTTAATTTCGTCACTTTTTCTCTTTTTAATTGCACAAAAATTAATTTTATATTAGATCAAGTTAAAGAGTACAAATTCTTGAACGGAGAAACTCCAATATAACCATGGGTATTGCATAATTTTAGTAAAATATTTTCCTTGAAATTCATTTTACATAAATTTGTTTTTATTAAATTATTTTCTGGTGTTTGGTTAGAATTAAAAAAGAAGAAAAAAAAAAAAAATTATTTGTTCCAAACAGTGTTTGGTACGGGTGTAAAATTGGGCATGTATTAGGAGAACCTGCCACGTATTCCCCAAAGACAAGTGTTACAAGTGAAACTTGTCCCACATCGGATTTGGATGGGGGTTGAAGTGTGTATAAATGAGTGGGTATGCAGCATTACTCAGTAGTTTGAGTTTTTGGGTAAATGGGCAAGCGCCCACCCGTTACAGTTGGTATCATACCAGACTCAGTCCTTAATCCGGTGTCACGCCAAGCGCCCGGCCCGGAAGGCGTCCGGGTCTGCCTCCGGGTAGGCAGGGTGGTCCGACCACAACGAGGGGGTTGCGTGGGTTCGGGTGGGGGAGAATGTTACAAGTGAAACTTGTCTCATATTGGATTTGGATGGGGGTTGAAGTGTGTATAAATGGGTGGGTATGCAGCATTATCCAATAGTTCAAGCTTTTGAGTAAATGGGCAAACGCCCACCCATTACAATATGCCACTACCATATAGACCCTAAACTAATCACTGTATATATTCATCTTCAAACCGGTCCGAACCGTTCATATCACCACTGCAAATCAAACCATGTCGAAGCAATTCAAATGCTATATTGTCGCAAGCCCCATTCCTCAAGCCATCTGTTCATTTTGCGCGTCTTGCGGAAGCTGAGGAAAATGACTTATGTAGAATATTTTACTTGGAAAAATATTTTCCTACTTTAAAGTGTTGCCAAACACGTACTCTACCAACTATGCTGCTACTAAGTAACGTCCAAAGTGATTTATTTTAAAATTTTATTTTATAATTGTTGAATTAAATAAAATAATTATATATACATTGACAATCATTGTTCTATGTACAAAATGCTCTCCAAATTTTTATTTCAAAATGCCAAATTATTTTTCTAAAAGCAAGTAACTCCGGCAATCTTTTATAACTACTCATCTTGAAGCATCTACAAAATGTAATGTACGTCCTCTAGATAAAGATATGCAACAGTGCTTAATTTATATTGGGAAGAGCAATTAATTAAGCACCAAACTTTTGATTGATTTTCCAAATTATTGCCAGAGAGACTTTAGCATTGTTGTGTGAAATCTTGACTTGAGACATTCATCATAAAGCAAACGGTGAGTGGTGCAAATTGAAAGAGAAAGGAGTTGAAATCAGGACACATTCCACAATTTCCACAAGAAACAAAATTTTCCAATATAATGGAAATATGCGAAGACTTAGAATGAAGGCAAGGCCCCATGATCACTAAAACAGAGTTAGATGATTAATCAGTGATTAATGAATTTGGGGATGAGCAATGAAGCACGAAATTTTTGATTGATTTTCCAAACGTACTATTGTGTGGAATCTTGACTTGGAGACATTCATTATACAGAAATTAAAAGGTGGGTGTCCAAATTGAAAGAGAAAAGGATAGAAGTGAACTAATCTTCTTGTCCAAAAGCGAAGACTGAATTTAAGGCATAAAACAAAATGCATGAATGATCACTATGGAGTCATTTTGCGTGAACCCGGGGATAGCTTTCGATTGTGGAAATATGCGAAGACTTAAAAGACTTGAGGCAAGGCCACATATATCACATCAGAATTGCTAATCAAAGCGAAAGAGACAACTATACTAAATTCATCATATTAATACAACACTTGCCCTTCCTCTTCTGATTCACCTCGACCAGCTGTGTCACCTTTTCATGATGGATAAAACTAGCTCCCTTGTTTCTGTTACATTTCTAATATTGTTGGTGCACTACTACAACTACTCTCTCATGGCTTGCTTGGCTGTGACGGTGAGTACTAGTAGGAGGACTGCAACCAATATCACCACTGATCAATCGGCTCTTCTTGCCCTGAAATCCCACATCACTAGCGACCCTCAAAACATTTTGGCCAACAATTGGACCACCTCAACCTCCCATTGCAACTGGATTGGTGTCCATTGCAGCACTCGCCACCACAGAGTTGCTGTCTTGAACCTTTCTTACATGGGCCTAAGGGGCACCATCCCTCCACACATTGGAAACCTCTCCTTTCTAGCCTTACTAGACATCAGAAACAACAGTTTCTATGGTAATATCCCTACAGAGATTGGTCATTTGCGTAGACTAGAATCCATCAATTTCTTTTCCAATGACTTTACAGGAAACCTTCCTAAAGAAATCGGCAAGCTTGCTAGTCTAGAGTTTCTGGGTATGTCGTTGAACCAACTTTCGGGCTCCATGCCTGCCCCCATCTTCAACATCTCCAAACTTCAAATCTTGTTATTGGCATATAACAAATTTAGTGGAGCAATACCAAGAGAAATTGGAAACCTGACCTTCCTGAAAGAGTTATATCTTGGTGCAAACATTTTAAAAGGTACCATAAATTCTGCTTTTGTTCTCCTTAATTACTATATCCATATGTGCTTTCATATGGGCAACGACTTTCTTATACAGTGACAATTTTGCATGACAGGATGGTTTGGGAATTTGTGCTTTATTAATGATGTATATTAATTAATTACTAGGATGAATATTAAATACATAACCTCTCCATCCTGCTATTCCTCAACATTAAAAAGTTAATTAGAAACAATAATTTCTATTATGATATCCCTAAGGAGATATAGGTAATTTGTGTTGACTAGAAGTCGATCATGATTTTCATTCTCAATGACTTTACAGGAAACATTCCTACAGAAATTGGCAAGCTTGCTAATCTGAAGGTTTTGGAAATGGGGTGGAACCAGCTTTCGGGCCCCATACCAGCCTCCATCTTCAACATCTCCTCACTCGAAAGTATTCGTTTGTCCAATAATAGCCTGTCGGGTAGTCTTTCAACAGATATGTGCTACAGTCTTCCAAAACTCTACCGGCTTAGTTTGTCCTATAACCAATTCAATGGCCAAATTCCAAGAGAGATTGGGAACTTAACTTCCCTAAAAGTGTTACTTCTTAGCGGAAACAACTGGAAAGGTAAGATAAATTCTGTTTTCGTTCTCACTTACTATGCCCATGCTTGCTTTCATATTCACAAAGACTTTATGTTATAAAATGATTATGAGCAAAGTTTTGCATACCAGTAAAGTTTGGAAATTTGTGCTATATTAATGTTGTAAATTATTTACTTAGAGGAATATATGTATGAAATATACATTCAAATATATAAATAAATAATTTGCCAGCAATTTTTTTTCTTTATACTAAAAAATTATTTTGTTCCAGAAATATATTTTAATTAATTATTTGCAAAACCAGATAGATTAATTTAGAACTTATGTGGACTCACTCTCCCGAAGGGCATTCTGATTGAGTTTTGGTTTAGAGTATAAAAGCAACGAGAACATGACATGACATGATGAAGTTAGATTAAAAAATGGACATCTGTGACCAAAATATTAAAGATTAATTAATCTTATGGCTTCCAGAAAATGTGAACAATAAGCGAAAGAAAGTTACTTTTTTAAAACTTTGATCGAAAGGCCTATCTCAGATTAAAATAATTCTATACATATAGTGACCATGATTTACTTACCAAAAAAACACAAACCACAAGGTAGGTTTTGCGAAGAGATTAGCTATGTTTCATTGCAATCTTTTAGTTTTAAATAAAATGTACAAATTAGCTGTGTTTAAGTTTCACATACTTGGTTGTAGACATTTCAATTAAATCACAACCTTAAGTTGCTCAATAAAGGATGATAATGGTTCTTCGCTGTAATATATGTGTGTAACCGTACCAGCGTGGTGTGGCCTCAAGTTACATGCTATTTGGGAAATCAGCTTTGTTTAAATAGAAAGCCTATAATATACTTGAAAAAGAGGTTAATTTGTTGGTAATTTTGTAATACCCGTGTAGGTAAAATTCCACAACAACTGGGAAATCTTCATAATTTGGAGATACTAGCAATTGAGGAAGCTGGCCTCACTGGTACCATACCATCTTTTGTCTTTAACATTTCTTCTTTGATAGGGATTTCTTTCTCTAGAAATCACTTTACTGGTAGTCTCCCACATGGTATGAGCTGGCATCTTCCTATGCTCGAGAAAGTTTATCTTCATAGAAATGAACTGTATGGAAGCATTCCAAGAGAAATTGGAAACTCTACTTCATTGATTCAAATATATCTCGATGAGAACAGTTTCACAGGTACCCTCTTAACTATCAAGCATATCCAACTTTCTTTAAAATAACTTCTTCCTTCCCTTTTTTTATTTTTTATTTTTTATTTTTTTTTCTCAATGGATGGGAGCTTATTAGAACATCTTCTCATAAACTTTACTGTGTAAGATCACCAACACAAAGAAAGATGTAGTACTTCCTAAAATGTACATAAGAGAACAGGTAATCATTGCATTCAGCATATGCCAACAATTTACTTGTTTTTGTGTTATAATATATACATTTTAATTTGCAGGTGCAATACCAAAAGAGATTGGAAACCTTCACGATCTGGAGTTTTTAGGTTTAAGTTTGAATAGGTTAAAAGACCCGATTCCGGAAACAATTTTCAACATGTCGAAACTACAAAGCCTTTCATCTATTAACAATTATCATCTTTCAGGCAAACTTCCGTCAAATATTAGGTTACCCAATCTTGAAGGATTATACCTTGGTGGAAATAGCCTCAACGGAATCATCCCTCACTCTATCTCAAATCTTTCCAAACTCACTGATTTAGTCCTTTCCAGCAACAATTTCAGTCATTCAATTCCCAACTCACTTGGTAACTTGAGACAACTTGAATTTCTAGAACTATCAGGGAACAATTTCAACAGCGAATCTCCAAACCAAGAATTAAGCTTCATCACTGCCTTGACAAAATGCAAACACTTGAGAACATTGTGGATAAATAACAATCCTTTGAATGGAATCCTTCCAGTTTCCATTGGGAATTTTTCCACTTCGCTCCAAGATATCTGGGCAAGTTATTGTGAAATTAAGGGCAGCATTCCCAACCATATTGGTAACTTGACCAATTTAGCTTTCTTAAGGCTAAGTGGCAATGGCTTCACTGGATCTATTCCAACGACAATGAAAGGGTTGCAAAAGCTTCAAGTTTTACATCTTGAAATTAACAGGATACAAGGTCCCATTCCAAATAATCTTTGCCACTTACACAACTTAGGTTTATTAGCTCTGAATGAAAATGAACTTTTTGGTCCGATTCCAACTTGTTTAGGGAATATTACATCTCTAAGACGACTCTTTCTAGGTTCCAACAAATTAACCTCCACGTTACCCATTAATTTGTTCAGACTCAAAGATATTTTGCATTTGGACTTGCACTCAAATTCTTTAAGTGGCAATCTTCCCTCAGAGATTGGAGCTCTAAAGGTTGCAATAAATATAGATCTGTCACTGAATAGATTCTCTGGTGATATCCCTAGCACAATTGGAGGTTTGCAAAGCTTACTCATTCTTTCTTTGGCACACAATGAACTACAGGGACCTATCCCTCAGTCATTTGGCAACTTGATAAGCTTGCAATCCTTGGATCTATCTTACAACAATCTCTCAGGCGAAATTCCAAAGTCAATGGAATCACTGCTGCTTCTTCAGTATTTCAATGCATCCTTCAATAGGCTAAGAGGAGAAATTCCCAGTGGAGGACCATTTGTAAACTTCACAAATCAATCCTTTAAGTCAAATGAAGCACTCTGTGGTGCCCCACAGTTCCGAGTCCCACCATGTCGCTCAAGCTCTCTTCACGGATCAAGTACAAAAAAAGTTCTTCTAGTTGTTTACATTTTGTTGCCAATTGTTCTAATTGCCTTGACCTTCGCGTTTGTCTCAATAAAATGTCGAAAGAGAAACAAAACTCCAACTGAAACAGAGTTGTCACCCACTTTAGCACACGGGAGAATTTCATACCTAGAACTTCTACGTGCTACTAATGGTTTTAGTGACAGCAATTTGCTTGGAACAGGAAGTTTTGGTTCTGTTTACAGAGGGATAATTGCAGATGGGACCATTCTAGCAATCAAGGTATTCAATTTGCAACTAGAAGCTGCATCCAAGAGTTTTGACACAGAATGTGAAATATTGCGCAACATTCGTCACAGAAATCTCACCAAAGTTATCAGCAGTTGCTCCAACCTAGATTTTAGAGCCTTGGTACTCCAATACATGCCTAATGGGAGTCTTGAAAAGTGGTTGTATTCTCATAACTATTTTTTGAATTTCGTTCAGAGATTAGATATAATGATAGATGTGGCATGTGCGTTGAGTTATCTCCACCATGGTTATTCAATACCATTGGTTCACTGTGATTTGAAGCCTAGTAATGTCCTGCTAGATGAAGATATGGTCGCACATGTCAGTGACTTCGGAATTTCAAAGCTCTTGGATGAAGGGGAAAGTATTGCGCACACCAAAACTCTCGCTACTTTGGGATATATAGCACCAGGTAAAGCTTTTAACTTCATTTTTCATTCAAATCTTACTTTAAATTTTCTTTCTTTTTTTCCTATAAGTATTTTAAGTTTTCCTTTTATTGTAACATAATTTTTAATTGGTGTTTTAATATCCTTCTACATGTGAATTCTTTTGATTAATTCTGATGTTGGACATAGAGTATGGATTGGAAGGGCTAGTATCCATAAGGTCCGATGTTTATAGTTATGGTATTATGTTAATGGAGACGTTTACAAGGATTAAGCCCAGTGATGATATGTTTGCTGGAGATTTAAGCTTGAAGCTATGGGTAAGTGAGTCACTACCTAATGCGATAATTCAGGTTATAGATCCCAACTTGCTCATGCCAGAAGAAGGACAAATCAGTGCAAAGGTGTTGTGTATATCATCCATCATGCAATTGGCTCTGAATTGTTGCACAGAACAACCACGGGAGAGAAACAATATGGAAGAAGCCCTGGTAACACTAAAGAGGATCAAACATAAGTTTCTTGCAGACAGGAAAAGGCGAGAAACATGAAGGTATTTATTTTATATTACTTATAATTGTGAATATAATTTAGTAAGGCTTTTTTAGAACTTAACCTGGCATTTCTTTTCAAATATTTCTTTAATAAATTAATTTATACAATTAACTTCCAAACCATAGGAAGATATTGTAATTTTGCCTTAGTATGTGCCACTTGTACTAAGTTTCTAACTTCTATTTGTCCAAGAATGCATATATCAAGGATAATAAGTAAAACAAAACCAAAAATCAGATATAACATGCTGATAGCGTAATTTTATGGCAACAGATTGCATTACTTTGAGAGGGAAAATTGTTGGTAGCTCCTCTCCTCCAAGATATGAGAACTAGTCACAAAGGAAGTTTCCTCAAATTGAAATCAAGGTGGATTGCTTGTCACCTATAGAGACACTTATATGTTGTTTATTTTTCATTTCCAAAAAAATAAAAAATAAAAATGGATATATATGGTGTTGTCTTTCAAATTGTTTTTTGTTTTGTTTTCTTTTTTTTTTTTAATCTTTTCTACCTAGCAAGGGGGGATGGATTGAGTTGAATCTGGCTCCCACACAACACGGGAAGTGCTTCTACCAACTGGACTACCTAACTCATCCCAATTTTCAATTAGATTGTAAAGTTCATTCAATAATTATCTTTGGGATCTAGTGATATTGTTTCGCCGTTTATATTCTATATTTTCTAGAATCATGTATGCTCTTAAGTTTCTTGGTACCTATAAATAATATTTTTTTTATTTATTATGACTTGCTTATCTTTTGTAAGTTGTAACTACATCAAAAAGTAAAATAAAATATGTGAAAACGGATTAAATAAAATACTGATTAATGCGGTGTCGAATCACATATCATGTTTGTAATAACCCTTGTAGTTTTATGTTAACTCATAAATACACATTATTATAGCTGCTCGAAGTTTTATTGTGTGATTTAGTTCTTATTATAATTTAAAAACTTTGACTGAATTTCCAAAGGAAAACAAAATCTAGTGGCCTAAATTTTATAGAAAAATTTCATTTGTTGCCACTTTACTGACAAAAATGTTGCAATGCATCTCATTGGAAATGCGTCCAGTGGACAATTCTCTTTTTGCACAAATCAATGGATTTGAAATTATGGGCATTGGGCTTGATCGAAAACATGATAATTGACATTGGAATATTAAAAACAAAAGTCATATGATATTTTGTTTATGAATATGGAACTAATATATTTTTTTGACTTTTTTGTTTTTTTTAAAGAGATTTAAATTTTCAACCTTGTACTTTAAAAGTCGAGAAAGTATTACTAGATTACATACTATGGTGATTAGAATCACATTTAAAGTCCATGCATATAATCCTCTCAAGTCAAATGTATAACATGAAAACTTAAATCTTAATCATTAAATCTAATTTCAAGGTATATTACTCAAATAATTGAACTTAAAATTCATTCATTTCATGTACTTTATTTAAAATGGAGCGTAGCTGATCCATAGATTTGTCCTGTTCAGTGTACAATTATAAGGGGCATTTAGGAAATTTAAATTGGAATGCGAAATTATGTGCACATGCATCGAGGGAATCTGAGTAAGATTATTATTATATTTTTAATTCCAATGTCAAAGCCTTCTCAATTTTGTTTTTTTTTTTTTAGTAAATTACTCTGACTTCCTTTGAAATTCAATCAGGTTACACTGTCATCTCCTTTTGTTTGTTAAATAATAATAAACTCTGTCGAGATTTATATACGTATAACAAATACCTCTCGTTACTAGCCAAAAATGATAATGATGTGATCAAATTTTTATTTTCAAATTTCCATTCTACCCCTAAAATATATGTAATTAATTAACGAAAATGTCTAAAATCTCCTTTTCTCTCTCAGCAAACCCCTTTCTCTCTCAAAACTCTCCCTTTCTCTCACCGAAAACCCATTTCCCTTGACCAAACCATTAATTTTCTCTTCCAGAACTCTAATTTTCCACCACACAAAGCCACACACATACAGATCTATATATATAACAAATAATTTTAAGGAAATAAAAAATAATAATCTCAAGTTCTCAACAACTTACCCACAAATACACATATACATATTACATACGTATTCCCCCTCCTCTCCATTTCCTCCGGACACCACCACCTCCACCATCCTCAACCACCATCTTTTCCGGCGAGCAACCATCACCACATAAAGCCACACACACACATATACATACATATATATATATATATAACAAAAAAACGGGGTTCAAATAGTGATTTGCAAAAAGAAAATTATTTTGGCAGCCACCACTACCGCCCTTAACCACCATCATTTCCCTGTCTAACCTTTCTTCTGTCTACCCAACACCACCGACGGCCGCCACCGCTCACCCCATCTTTCTTTCTCTCTCTTCACTCACCACCGCAACCACCACCCCCACAACCACCACCCTTTCTCTTAATATGGGTTGCTATATATATATATATATTATTTATCCATATACATACATACATATATATATATATATATAAACATATATAAACCTCTTCTCTCAATCTGGGTGTATACGAATTAGAATTTTCTGTTTAACGATGTGGGATCTATTCCCCAATTCACACTCAATCTGATCTAATTCGTCAATTTCACTGGCATCAATTCGAATATTCACGATGATTACCATCAAATTGGTGGGAATTCTGAGTTCGATTTTGTGGACGAGCTTGTTCGAGCCTCCGATTGCATCGAAGATCAAGGCCTGGAAAAATCCCCAGTCCGATCAAGCCCTCACTCGAATCTGTCGCCATCACCACTGGAAAATCAGTGCTCCGTCCGCCTTCTGTGCCGCCGCCGTCGCTTATAAACCATAGAAGTTATAGAACCCTTATTTTGGGTCTGCTTAGGTGAAGGATGAGAATTGATTTGAGAGATGGGCTTTTTTGTCTTTTTAAAATTTGTCATTTTTGTAATAAAATACCAATAAATATAATGTGGGCAATTTCGGAATTTCATTCCATTAGTTAACCCCGTGTGCGCGCATTCAACCCCTTTAACAGGTCATTGTTATTTGACAAACAAAAACGAATGTCTTCATATATTGAAGAAATCTCAAGAGAGGTTAGTGTAATTTACCTTTTTTTTTTTTTCCAGATAATTAAGTGATGCATCGATAACTCAGAATAATTACATATATATATACAAGGGGCATACCCCACGAGCCCCGATCCAGATAAGCAAGAAAATTAAAACCTTAAGGGTCCGTTTACTAACGCTTTCACTTTTTTACTTTTACTTTTTTTCAAAAATAAAATCATAATTTTCATTTCTAAAGATGAAATATAAAGTAATATTATGTTTACTAACTTTTTATGCTTTTAATATTTTCTGAGTAAAAAATTAGAAAGTAAGTTTAATAATTATAATTTTGATTTTGCTTTCTATTTCACAAAGTCTTTTATATACTATATATATATATATATATATATATCATCAGTCTCCTCATCGCTCCACCCATCACCCGTCACAGACCCACCTCACCCCAACCACATCTCAGTCTCTCTCATCGCCCTCCACTTCGTCTCTCTCTCTCTCACCTCACCCCACCCCACCCCACAAGACACCAAAATTCGGTTCTCTCTCTCTCTCACCTCCCCCTTAATTTTAATTTTGCTTTCCCTGCTATTTCTCTCTCATTTTATTTTATTTTTTCCCGGATCTCTACAACTTTCGGCGAGTTTCTGCAGATTTCGGCGAGCCCTCCGATCACCACTTCCGGCCACGGTTTAGCTGAAATTCTCTGGAGTTCATCCCAAAGTCTCTCTCTCTCATTTTATTTTATTTTTTTTCCCCGGATCTCTGCAACTTCCGGCGAGTTTCTGCAGATTCTGGCGAGCCCTCCGATCACCACTTCCGGCCACGGTTTAGCTGGAATTCTCTGGAGTTCATCCCAAAGTCTCTCTCTCTCATTTTATTTTATTTATTTATTTATTTTTTCCGGATCTCTGCAACTTTCGGCGAGTTTCTGCAGATTTCGGCGAGCCCTCCGATCACCACTTCCGACCACGGTTTAGCTGGAATTCTCTGGAGTTCATCCCAAAGTCTCTCTCACTTCATTCCGGGGTTTCAAGATGTGACCTCGCAAAACTTATGAAAGAGGAGAGAGATTGTTGTGACGGTGGCTATGGTGGGGAGGAGGTGAACAGTAGAGAAAACACTTCTTGTGAACAGTGTCAAAGGTAGGAAAAGTAACAAATTCTCACTTTCTCTTTCCTTCGTTAAATATTGGGGTTTCAAGATGTGAGCAAAACTTATGAGAGAGGAGAGAGATTGTTGTGACAGTGGCTGGTGGGGAGGAGGTGATGGTGGCGGCGATAGGCCGGCGGCCATGGTCGGGGGAGGTAGCGTGGACCGATTGGTGTTTTTTTTTTTTTTTTAACACTACAGTAGAGAAAACACTTCTTGTGAACAGTGTAGAAGGTAGGAAAAGTAACAAATTCTCACTTTCTCTTTCCTTCGTTAAATCTGAAAGTACTTTCTAACAGGTAAAAAGTAAAACTATATTACTAAACATAATTTTCACTTTTACTTCACAATTTTAGAAATTGGCAGTAGAAATCAGAAAGTAGAAGTGTTACTAAACATGCCCTAAAAAAAACCAAACATAAAGCCTAAAAGAAAATTACAATTATAATCCATATTGTCCAAAGTTTGACCCAATGTGGATATTAGTTAGTCCTCAAGCCCAATTCATAAACATAGACTGGATTCCATCAACAAACTCATAAAAATTCTTTATATTGGTGGTGGTGGTTTGGTTTGGTGGATGCAATTGAGGAGATGGTGGTGGTGGTGGTGGTGGTGGTGGTGGTGGTGATGAACTGATGATTCATTTGGAAAGGTGAAGAAAGAGTGTTTTTTTTTTTTTGAAAAAAAGAGTTAGCAAATTGAATTAAGAAATAGATTTAATAATGGACAACATAGGAATTTGGAGTTTATTATTTAAAAAAGTATTTCACTTGCAGGAGGGCTTCCAAATACTTATCATTATTGACAAAGAACTTTTTGAGCCTAAAAGAAGCCCATCCAAACAGGTAGTTTCCACGTTTCCAACATATGCATGGTTGCCTAAAGGGGTTGATGTCATCACCATCTATTACTATCAAATAAAGTTAAAATCAAGGTTCTGAAACCAATTGATGAACGAAAGAAATAAATGTTTAAAATTGGAAAGAAAACTTTGAATCCATAAAATATTAGGCAAAGAGAATTTTGAAACGTTATAGCTGATTGAATAAATGTTCTATCTTGTTATAAATAAATAAATACTCTACTACGAAATGTATTAATAATAAAGAAAACATAATCCCCCAGCCCCCAATAAAGGTTCTGATACCGGCTAAGGCTACGTTTGGTGTGCAGGAATGGATACTGCGATAGAAAAAAATAAAGAAAACCCTTAAAATAAAATAAAATATTATTTTTGACTCTAGACAATTGTTAATTTTTATTTTATATCATTGCTCCATATATAAATGTTCGAAGAGAAAAATCATACAAATGTTTCAACACAAAGATATATATAAAAAAAAAAAGAAAAAAAAAAGAAAAGAAAAAAATGATATACTCAGAAGATAAAGAGATTAATACTTGCAATTTGGTTGAAGGTCAGGCCTGCGTATATTTAAAAGAGAGGGAAGGTGAAAGACCTTTATCAGGCCTAACAAAGAAGCTCAAGAAACGTGAAAAATGGAATCTGAAAGATTTTTTTGTTTATGCGAAATATTTTTTCCTTATTAGAATATGGTAAAGAACTAATTGGGAATATTACAAAAATATTTAATCTTACTGCCAATTCCATAGGTTTAGTAATGGAATGATGATAGCATAAATGTTTAAAGTTAGAAAGAACAACTTTGAATCCATAAAATATTAGGCAAAGAGAATTCTAAAACATTATTGTTCGTAAGGTATGCAACAAAGTTAAAGAAGAAAAATTGCAATTACTAAAAATATGACCAAAGCCCATTTCAGAAAGTTAAAGATGAATTATTTTCAATTAATAAAAGAAAATTCCATACAAAACCTTTGTGGAAAGAAATCTGAAAAATCAAACTAAGAGAAAGATACAGTTTTTTCTATGTCATGTGCTAAACTTTTTAGTCAACTATCAATGAGAGAGACCTACAATCTTTAACTTAAAATAATTGGTTCAGACTCAAGCCCAAGTCTTCACCCTAATGCATGTGCGGGAACTTAGGAGGCCTTGAAAAAATGAGCATTGACTAGACTACAGCCTTTGGTACAGAGTCTCTATTTATTGAGATGATATCAAATAAAATCATGATGACATTTTATGTTGTAGATTATGAAAAGATTTTACTCGTAATTCATCTTTCTTTCCTTCTTGAACTTGAAATAACATATCATCGTACTAAGCTGAATTTTATTGAAATTTCTCATCACGACAACAGCTATTATATATTTGGCAAGCCATTGCATTTCCTTTCTACCTCTATTAATTCATCCAAAACTGTGATTTCTCACTTCATATACCTCCGTCCAGCCACACACTGCATAATTAAGATCCAGTACTCATGAAGAAAACTTGCACATTCAATTCTTCATTTATTATGTTAAAAGCAGTGGTGTTTTGGTGCAGTACTACTCGCTCATTCCTTGCTTGACTATGAGTGCTTCTGTGCTACGACCCTCGCAACATCTTGGCCAGCTGGACCATCTCAACCTCCCCTTGAGCTGGATTGGTGTCCATTGCAGCACTTGCCACCACAGAGTAGTAGCCTTAAACCTTTCTTACATGGGCCAAAGAGGCACCATCCCTCCTCACATAGAAAACCTCTCCTTCCTACTATCCCTCGACATTACAAACAATAGTTTCCATGGCAATATCCCTAGAGAGATAGGTCTGTTGAGTAGAGTTGAGGCTATCATTTTCCTTTTCAACGACTTTACAGGAAACCTTCCTAAAGACATTAGAAAGCTTGCTAGTCTGGAGTTTTTGGATCTGAGGTGGAACCGACTTTCGGGCTCCATACCTGCCTCCATCTTCAACATCTCCTCGCTGGAGAGTATTAGACTCAACCATAATAGCCTATCGGGTAACCTTCCAATGGATATATGTTACCGTGTTCCAAAACTTTACAGACTTGGTCTGCCAAATAACCACTTCCATGGCCAAATTCCTTCCACTTTATATAAATGCTCCCAACTTCAATCTTGTCATTATCAAATAACAAATTCAATGGAGCAATTCCAAGAGAGATCAGGAATTTAACCATTCTAAAAGAGTTATATCTTGGCGGAAACAACTTGAAAGGTGTGTACTTAGATACTGCGCTTTTTTTTTTCTCCTTAATTACTATATCCATGCATGTGTGCTTCCATATATGCAATGACTTCATCTTTCTTACACAGTGATTCTGCCATGGAAGTTTGGAAAATTGTGGTATATTAATGTTGTATATTAATTGTGGTATATTTTTTGAATGGAATTGTGAAAGACCATGAAGCAGAGACTGCTCTTAAAAATAGACATGACAGTACCTCCGCTTGTGTTTCATTGCATTCTTTTAGTAATTGTGTTCCAGTTTTGTTGGCCTCAAGTTACATGCTAGAATATTTTCTAACGGTTTAATCTTATTATTACCCCGTATATGCTTGAAATAGAGATTTGCTGGTAATTTTGTATTAATGTGTAGGTAAAATTCCACAAGAGTTGGGAAATTTTCATATTTTGGAGATGCTAGCAATTGATGATGCTGGCCTCACTGGTACCATCCCATCTTCTGTCTTTAACATTTCTTCTTTGAAAAAGCTTTATATGGATAGGAATAAATTAACTGGTACTCTGCCGCGGGGTATGAGCTGGCATCTTCCTATGCTTGAAGTAGTTTATCTTGGCAGCAATGAACTGTATGGAAGCATTCCAAGAGAAATTGGAAACTCTACTTCACTCATCGAATTACATCTTCGATATAATAGTTTGACTGGTATATATCCTCTTCATTACCTATTTTTTATATGTTCGATTTTCAGAAGTGGGTTAGTCTTTGTTGAATAGCAAGCATTTCTAACTTTCTTTAGGTTGTGTCTGATTGCATGGGATTGGAGCTTTGAAATTGAAATTAGTGGAATTGGAGAAAATTTCAGTTTAATTTTCTGAGTTCCTTTTCTCTAATTCCAATTCCAAGACTCCAATTTCAGGCAATTGAACACAGTAGAACATGCTGTCATAAACTTCACATTTTTAATTGCAGGTTGATGAGTGCTCAAATGTGACACATTTTAGCACCTAAGCGATGGTATTTTAGTCCATTATTCTACCTTATTTTTCCATTTTAGTCTAATTTCATGTTTTTGTCTATTTCAGGTCAATAAGATTAAAACGGACTAATTTTGGTCCATTAGGCCTTTTTGGAGTCAAACTAAGTCTTGGTGAGAATCTGGAGCAAAGGGAGGTTGATCTGGAGCAAAAAAGAGGCTGATGCTGAAAACTGTCAAGTTAGATCGATCGAAGAAAAGTTGGATCGATCGAGCCCTGATCGATCATACCATACCTCTGATCGATCACATTGTTGGTTGGATCGATCGAACTGTTCGCAGAAGTTATTAAAAAGTAGATCTAAAGCTCATTTAGAACCAACTCGGGCTGTGCTTGAAAGGGGAAATCCTAAGGCCGAGTTCTCACATTTTTGGGCTCTAAAAGCCTTGTATATAAGAGGGATAGAACCATTTTTGTAGGGAGATCTATATTTTTACATTGTAATTTCTATATTTTTATTAGTTTCTCTCTCTAGAAAGTTAGAGATTAGGGTTAGAAGAAAAAAGGGAAGTGGAGGCATATTTCAAGAACACATCTTCATATCCACATACTCTCTATCTCTAGAGCTTCAATGAAGAAGAAGAAAAAGAGGAAGAAGAAAATGGAGCCATGTTTGGAACTTGCTCTTCAGGGTTCATGACCACATCCACCTCCTCCATGATTGGTTAGATCTACACTTAGGGCTTGGATGAGCCCTAAGTCTTGTGTAATCTAAACCCTTATATTTCTATTTTTGGGGATTTATATATATATTGTTGTGATTAGTGGTTAACCTTGTGATTGTTGATTAATTCTTCGTTATGATTCTCTATTTTAATTACATATTGTCTTATGTGTGATTATTTGGGAATTGATCTCTACACTAGATTCTCTATGTTGGTTGCATGTCTATGTGTGATTAATTAAAGATTTAGTGATGGTTAAACATGATTTTCATTGAATGGGTTTGTAAATTAATTTGATGGATTATTCTTATGCTTGATGGGTTGTTCTACAATTTAATTCATGTTTGTAGGTAAGTAGACAATCTATTCTTGATTTGATACTTCACACTTATTATTGCAAATTCCATGATTCTCTAGATTGATGTGTACCCTCATTAGACCCATTTGTTAACTAATTGATGGATTATGTCTTTGTCTTGGTGGGTTGTTGTACACTTAGTTTACTTGTAGGTTAGGTAGGCAATTCACTTTTGCATTAGATAGTTCACACTTTTACATACAAATTGTGTTTATGTTTGTGGCCACATCTTGATTGCAATAATGTATTCCCCATTAATGGAAAGCAAGTGGTTAATTACATGAGCTTAGTGGTGATTCCAACACCCTAAAACCTCTCTTCATATCTCTTAAATCCCTATCTTTCACTAGTTTACTTTACTTGCATTTTAATTTTATTGCACCTTAGTGTAATCAACCAAACAAACCCTCCTTTGCAATCTTTTGATAAGCTAGAGTCAAAGTTAAATTCTAACACGTATAATATCTGCGGACGATCCCTACTCGCTATACTTCATTAGTTGTAGTAGTGGTTTTTATAAATGTAAATTTGACTAGAAAGGCTTCCGAAACCACAATCATATTTTGACCTTGCGAAGCGACCTCTCGCATTAAAAAGTCCGTTTTCTAAACATATAGAAAGGGGCATCGTCACAGGTGCAATACCACAAGAGATTGAAAATATTTCCGATCTGGAGAGTTTAAAATTAAGTTTGAATAGCTTAAAAGGTCCAATTATGGAAAAATTATTCAACATGTCAAAACTACAAAGCATTGCATTGGCAGCCAATTATCATCTTTCAGGCAAACTTCCATTGAGTATTAAGTTAGCCAATCTTAAAGAATTGTAACTTGGTTTGAATAACCTCGACGGAATTATCCCTCCCTCTATCTCAAATGCTTCCAAACTCATTCATTTAGACCTTTCCTCTAACAACTTCAACCATTTCATTCCCAACTCACTTGGTAACTTAGAACTGCTCGAATTTCTAAACCTAGCAGGAAACAACTTCATGAGCGAATCTTCGAACCAAAAATTGGGATTTATTACTGCCTTGACAAATTGCAAGCGTTTAAGAATATTGTGGATGGAAAGAAATCCTCTGAATGGCATCCTTCCAGTATCCATTGGGAATCTGTCCACTTTACTTCAAGATATTTGGGCAGTTGATTGTGAAATTAAGGGCAACATTCTTAACCATATTGGTAACTTGACCAATTTGTTTTTACGTCTACATGGTAATGGCTTCACTGGATCTATTCCAACCACGATAAAGAAGTTGCCAAGGCTTCAAATTTTAGATCTTTGGTATAACAAGATACAAGGGCCCATTCCAAATGGTCTCTGCCATTTAAAGAACTTGGCTTCATTGGATCTGAGTGAAAATGAACTTGTTGGACCAATTCCAACTTGCTTAGGGGATGTTGTTACATTTCTAAGAGAACTCTTTCTGGGCGCCAACAAATTAACCTCCACAATACCCATAAATCTATTTAGCCTCAAACATAGTTGTTAAAGGCTCAAGGCGCACAAAAGAACAAATGCCTCCTGGAGCCTGAGGCGCAAGGCGCAAGGCGAGGCGCGCGCCCGACTGAAGCAAGGTGCACGTTGGAAAAAAAAAAAAACAAAACTCACCCAATAAGTATTAAAGATGCAATAGTATATACAAAGATATAAAAGTCAACTAAATGAATTATTTAAGTTAAATATTCAACATAAAGATGCCAAAACTAATTAAATCAAGTACTTGAGTTCAAAACAGTGAATAATCAAACATATTAACATAAAGATGCGAAAGTCAACTAAGGAGAAGTATAAAATAAAACTAAAACAAACATAAACATCATTTCTTCCTAAGAAGACAACACCAATGAATCTAAATATCATCCTCGTCATCAATAAGCATAACATCATTTTGATCGTCACTAAATGATTCATAATTCTCAGGATCCTCTTCTATCTCATCTGAATCATCCTCATCCTCATCCTCATCCACAAGTCGAACTGAAGAACTTCCTGCTCCCTTTGTTGGTAACCGTGAACTAGAACTAGATTTTGATCTAGTAGACCGTTGCGGCCTGCTAGCCTCTCCAATACCAGCAAAATTAGCAACATCACCCCATGTCAAGGAATCATCTTCATAGACTAGATCATGTTCTGCATCAGAATCATCCATCCTCCCCGTTAACCACTCGTTGCTCTCATCAATGTCATCGAGTAAAATGGGATCAAGAGTGTCACACATATTATATCGACGCTTCAATGCTCTATTATATTTGATGAACACTAAATCATTCAAAGTTGTTTAAGCGAGCCTATTTCTTTTCTTGTTATGAAGCTGCAATAAATTCAACCTTAACTAGTAAGTATAAAAAATTAAAATTTTAACTTTCAACAATTAAATTACAAACCTAGTTAGTAGATAGTATATACTTACATGCTCAAACACGCTCCAATTTCGTTCACAACCAGAAGAACTGCAAGTAAGGCTTAAAACCTTTATAGCAAACTTTTGGAGAAGTTTTGTTGACTTGCCATAAGCTTCCCACCAATTAGCTATTAAAAAAAATTAATAATGATGTTTAGCAACTTTAGCTTCATCTTTCTATCGACTCTATTGTCAAAATAATTTTAACACTTAGCTATACTAACTTAATATACTTTACCACTTTACCTGGTCCTCGTGTATTTCTCTGTCTAATAGCAAAGGGATTACCAAAGAGGCCCTCAGCTTTAGAATATAAGGACAGCTCCTCAGTAATTTTGTCTTGGTCTTTGATATCTGGGATTAACCTTGCAATGCATGCATACAAACCCTTTGCAATCTCTTCATCTTCTTCAATTTTCGGATTTGAATAAAAGTATTCTGGGTTCAAATAATAACCTGCTGCATGCAAAGGGCGATGAAGTTGAACATTCCACCTCTTATCAATTATTTCAAAGATATCCTTGTATTTGTCTTCTACTTCCCCAAATGATTTTGCAATGGCTTCTTTAGCCCTATCCATAGCCGCATAAATGTATCCCATGGGAGGCTTTTTCTCGCCATCAACTAATCTCAAAACCGGAATAAGAGGACCGGAAACCTTAAGGCTAAAGACAATGTTGTTCCAAAAGGAAGGCATCAAAACATAAGAAGCAACTCTTTTACCAGCTTCCTCTTTCGCCCATTTACTACGATTCCATTCTTCTGAAGTAAACATCTTCCTCAAGTTATTCTTTTGCTTGTGAATACTTGATAATGTGATGAAACATGTAACAAATCGAGTCTTAGCGGGCCTAAGCAACTCCTTTTTAGAAGTAAAGTTCCTCATAATGTTCAACAACTTTGGACGCATATAGATATAACTATTCAACTCCACCGCCCTCTGCATTGTTCTGGAGATGGACGGTATTTTCCCAATGTCTTCTAACATCAAGTCTAAGCAATGAGCAGCACATGGTGTCCAATACAAATGTGGGTGTTCTTTCTCTAACATCCTCCCTATTTGAAACCAAACGGAAAAAAGAAAAAATGATATAAATTATATATTAATCAAAAAAGATTTAAATTATATATGTAAAGAATTTACATACTCTTGAAGTTATAAACATTGAACATTCTTACCGGCAGACTTATTGCTTGATTCACTATCTGTGACGACTTGAACGACATATGCTACTCCAATGCGGTTCACAAATTTATTAAGTCAGTCAAACATCTTTGCACCATCCTTTGAAAAAGAAGAAGTATCTATCGATTCAATAAACATGGTTCCCCTTGGACTATTTACTAGGAAATTAAGCAATGTTCTCCCTCTCTTGTCTGTCCACCCATCTGCCATTAATGAGCATCCAAATTTTGACCACTCCTCTCTGTGGTCATTCATCAAAGCATTGGTATTATCCAATTCCTTCCTAAGCAAAGGAACTCTCACCTCGTGATAACTAGGTGGTTTCATGCCGGGACCATATTGTCCAATAGCTTCAACAACCTCGGCAAAGCTATCATACTTAACAGCATTGAATGCAATTCCTGCATCATACATCCACCTTGCAAAACCAGCACACGCTC